TTCGTTCACTAAATTTCGTCGAAAGTCGATTAGTAGTTTTTGGGTAAAAGACTATGGGCGCTTGTGCACTACACTGAATTTTCAGGTCCGGCGATCCGATTTTTTCCGGTCCGGAATGACATGAAAAACTCGGATGAGTAGCTTGTGCACTTGTCCGTTTTTTTCCTGATCGGAGCGGCGCAGTGTAGGGCAGCTCTCTTTGAAGCTACACGTCACTTACGGTAGGTACGATGAGATTTTTGGAACGTCGGTAATTGCGTTTGATGACGTAGAAAGGTACCTAAATAGTGACCTTACATAAACCATAATAAATTGAGGCAAGACGAAAGCATTTTTTTACTACTACCGGATGACTACTACCAGGTGTAAAAACTTATACCCTTACTAATTTAGGGACAGTATTATTCACATATAATAGCTAAAAATATCTGTGACATTAAAATAAAATTACTGATAATGATCTAGTACTTGAAGTTTAAATTAATAAACATGCTATTTTTTTTCGAAGTTTTTTAAAAACAACTTTAAGCGATTACAGAGATAAGTCTATCTCTGTAATCGTTTAAAGGCATAATTTTATACGCGTGGTGTAGTTTCTTTGAGCAGAACAGTAATTAATAAACAGTAATTTCAAATTTTATTACATAAAAGCGAAAAAGACATTTAGTGTCACTTAATTACTTATGTTAATATTCTGTTTGTTCTTTATTATTACTTCTGTTATCAAATATTTATGTATACTTATCGATTGTCTAAAAAAATTTTGATAGTGACAAATTTCCAGGCAAACTTTCATTTATTTTCCTTAACAACTTTCTTTCCTTATTTTTCGCGATAAAATGGAGTCTATGTCCTTTCTTAAAGTTAAATCTATTTACTATATTAATTTCCATTAAGATGGGTTCAGTTGTTTAGGCGTTGAAGCGTAACAACACTTATTTATCTTACCTCAAGTTATCAATACTTTTAATGCGATACTAAAATCTAGCTAAGTACCGATACTAGAACCATACGCTGAGAACTATACCGAATTAGCCAAAGCATATGCAGTGATATTTACCAAGTATGTTAAATCATACTATAAAATATAGCATTTTATAATCTACAATAAATATCGATTATAAGTTTATTGGAAATTAACAATATCGCCGAAATAAATATTGATTTTACACAAATCGATTATTTTTTCCCAAGCCTATTCCTTATGAATTTTCCGGATCACGGACACAGCAATGCACAAGCGTAAGCACGTTTTTCATTGCCGCCATCACCGACCTGAAAAAACTGGTCCGAAATAGAGAAAAGTAAATTCCCGGACGGTAAAATTCCTGACAGTGCACAGGCTAGCATTACCTTTATATGGCCTGATATATCGGACCGGAAAAAATCGGACCGCCGGACCTAAAAATTCAGTGTAGTGCACAAGCGCCCTTATATAACATTTTTCTTTTTATCAACCTTACGTAATGCGGGCCTGTTAGTACAGATACTTATGGTATATTTTACAGACTTCTGTCTCTCACATTAGGTTTAAATTAAAGTATGTACAATTAAAATAATAATGTACCATTGTAAAGTGAAAAAGAAATGGATATTATTATTATTATACGAGGGTCAAACTGAAAGTTCTTAGAAAATCAAAAACTGATTACATTAGCCAGTTATTAGTTTTATTATATCTTTTCAAAATATTGTCCATTCACGTCAATACACCGCTGCATGCGATGGAACCACTGGGAAAAGCACTTTGCCCACTCGTCCTTAGGGATCTCTTCAATGGCATCGCGATACGCAGCCACCGCTTCTTCAGCATTCATAAACCGCTTTCCTTTAAGTTTTTCTTTAATTTTTGGAAATAAATAAAAATCACAAGGCGCGAGGTCGGGGCTATACGGCGGGTGACCCAGTAATTCAACGTTTGATGTCGCCAAATAGTCGATCGTTCGCTTGGCGGTGTGCGACGAGGCGTTGTCGTGGTGAAGGAGGATCCTACTGCGAGGTCGTTTCTCTCGAACTTTTTCCAAGACAAGTGGCAAACAATTGGTAGTGTACCATTCTGCAGAAACTGTTTTTTGATCCTCTAACACAATTGTTGCAAAATGACCTATCCTTCCAAAGAACGAGGCCACCATTTTTTTTCCCGCACTTCGATCTCTCTTCACTTTAGTTGGCAACTCCTCGAAAGGAAACACCCACTGAGCAGATTGTCTTTTGGTTTTAGGATCATAACAGTAAATCCAGCTTTCGTCACCTGTTAATATGTCGAACACAGCATTTGAGTCACCTCCGTTAAATCTTTCAATCATTTTACGACACCAATCCACACGATGGAGTTTTTGAGCCTCAGTCAAATTATGAGGTATCCACCGGGCGCAAAGCTTCCTGACCGCTAAATGTTCGTGGAGGATTTTGTGCACTTGACTCATACCGATGCCTAAGCTTGTCCGAATCTGTTGATAGGTCACTCTTTTGTCAGTCTCTATCATACGCCGCACAACACAGATGTTATCTTCAGTCGTCGCCGTAGAAGGCCGTCCCTCACGTAAATCATCAGTGAGATTAGTGCGACCACGTTTAAACTCATTAAACCAGTTGTAAACAGTCGCACGAGATGGGGCTTCATCGTGAAAGGCCAATCGTAGTCTATCATAAGTTTCTTGTTGACTTAAATGACATCGAAAGTCATAAAAAATCATTGCACGAAAATTTTCTCGTGTTAAATTCATGATGACGTGACACAGGCAATTTTCAATTTGCCGCCAAATCGTAAAACAAATGACAAATGAATGAAATATATACTCAGTAATATTGGCAAAGAGTTATATTTTCAAATTTTAGAATTATTTTTTTATTATATTGTTTATAAGTGGCCAGTTCTAAGAACTTTCAGTTTGACCCTCGTAAGAAAGGTTTCGCTTTGCCAAGCTTGTGAGTAAGTATGTATATTTAGCTAATATTTTAGGTACACTTATATTCTTTGATTCTACACCAGGGATCGTCAACCTGCGGTTGCGGCGAACCGCATATGGCTATGTAAAATTGCGGCTCTCAAAAAATATTTTTCTTCAAATCGTGTAATCGTTCCAACACTATAAATAACACCATTGAAATATACTATAACTATTACTGCCAGCTAGATATTCAGCCGTTTATTTAAAATAAATTTTCAAATAGTATTTTACAACGAAATGTGATTGATTCTTTAAAACCTATGAAATTTTGTAAGTTGTAGATTTCAGCTTTTTCATCTCATAAAGTTATCGACCCTTTTTTTGTACCGAAGGGAACTAATCCTTAACATTTTATCAACCTGGACGAGAGGCCGACTAAGCCGAGACTCTCCGGCTACAAGAGACGGCGGTCCAGTGCAGTTGGCCTATCTTTCAAAACTTTCCATATCATCCTCCCATGTGGTATGGACCTGCCCTGGCAACTAGAAAGAAATCCCAGGCAATAATTTTTTTTGACGATGAGAAATCGTTACGTATACCCACTTCACTCTGCGCGAACTCCACGGGTTATGTGGGACTCTCCCCTGTGGACCAACCCCAATGGGGGGCTGATCAAAGAGCAGGGGTATACCCACTAAAACTCAGCGATGTCCCTCATGCGCAAGTAGGGCACGGCCATACGACCATATTCCACACACCTAACCACGCACGACCCGCCCTTTAACTGGGTAGGTCCCGTCTCGGGTTAGGGAAAGGGCTCAGGAACATTCGAGTCCAACCCTCAGACTGGATAAGGGGCGTGCAAGGTCCAGCGAGCGCGCTAACCCGCCAGACTGTCCCCCTTCAAAGGCAAGAGATGCGCAACTGAACATCTCCCACTCTAACCCGTCTACCAGAGGGAATTCACCTGGACTGAACCCTCGTGAATCCCTCACTCCGATAGCCGCGGATACCAATGTCCAGCCCAGCGTAAGCCGAACCAGTCACCGGTATTCCGTTCCTTAGTCACACTCTGATAGTGGCCACCCCACACGCCGAACGGTGTGTGTGAGGCAGCGCGGCCCCGACGGCCCCACTACCAGAGTGCAAGATAGACAATTCCCTCACCAGCATACGCTGGCCGACTCCTCAGTTTCCCTCACTACCAGCCCAACGAGCCACCCTGCCGATCGTAACCAACAGGGGTGCAAGGCGAGAACAAGAAGCCCGTGTCCCTCCGGTGAAGCATCCGGTACACTCTCTTCGGAGAGGGATGGAAGCGACACTAACGGGAACGGAGGGGGGGAGGTAAGTCTATTGTGTAAGTATATTTGTTTAATGTATTTGTAGTTAGTGTATAAGTGTATGTGATTAATTGCTAGTGTGTATGGATGCGTGTGTGTTCGTATGTGTGAAAGGTTCGCGACCCTGCCCTACACTATTCAACATCAGAGTATAGAGATATTCCGAAAATTACGTTCTTGGGAAATTAGAGTCGTCGGATAGCCCTGGGTTCTTATTGTTATTGTTCAGAATAGATATTATTTTATTACCTTTATTGTTCAATTTTATTACCTTATATCGAAGTCCTAATATCTTTGTAACCTAAACAAGGTTCTAGATTTTTATGCTAAGCTAAAGCTCTCAACAATTTTCTAGTTCTCTCCAAACATCATTACTTTAGACACATTTTAATTTATTCAAAAAGAATATCAATATATTTATCTCTGATTTCTCAATTTCGTTTCCCAATCGCATCAACGTAGAAAATTAACTTTAATATATTGGCTCAGATCTGGTTGTTGTGGTAGTTTCGTTGTATAAGGACTGTAGCTATTCATCTTGGAATCCAAGCAATGTATGTTATGATGTCCAATATATTATGAACAAATAATATGACAACAATAACCCGCCAATAAAAACCTAAAAATCGATATCGACCCACCAAAGCCGAAAGATTAAAAATCATTGATCATAATTAAAGGATTTAAAGTAATATCGCAGAGTGATAATAAATAGAAATGCATAAATTCCGCATGAATCGAAATAAATCACATTGCTTTTGTAAAAATGAAGCTAGTTATAGCTCTTGTATTGATTTCTTTTGCGAACTCTGCATATGGGAAGGCAGTTAATCCCAATGTTGGAATGTATGATTACCACCGCAGAATTGGTATGTTTGAGGCGGACAGAATAAGGAAGTTCGAGAAGGACGTCACCGATAGTAAGAGTGCAAGAGTTGTGGGTGGGTCTACCACCACTATTGGCTTAGTTCCTTATCAGGTAAAACGTTACTTTTATTACATGTATCAAGTTAATTGCTTCGATATAGTGATATTTGACGCAATTAAAACATTGTCCTGTTTACATTAGATTATGCTCTGTATATTCGCGGGCCTGGTGATCTGTATAATGGGTCTAAAAATCTACACAGGCACACCAATCTCCCACAAGTTTTGATTTTTTATTATTATTATTCAGGCTGGTCTCATCATCACCTTTAGAGTTGTCTTCACATCGGTATGCGGAGGAAGTATAATATCGGATAGCAAAATCCTGACTGGAGCCCATTGTTATAATGATGGTGTCAGCATAGCTCAGTCGATTACCGTCGTAGTTGGCTCCAACTTAATGTTTGTCGGTGGCACCAGGATGACTGCCAGCCGTGTGGTCATGTACCCAGGATACAATCCTTCTATTTTTGCCAACGACATTGCAGTCGTTTTTGTGCCGAGGCTTTCGTTTTCACGTGAGTAGCTGTTTTTTTATATTTCTTTGACAAATATCTCTTTACAGAGATCGACCATATTATTTTTATTTTTAGATCTTTTACTAAGATTTAAGGAAAAACCATAACTTTAAGAGTATGACTCTTTCTGATTGTTTATCGCGCAGCCGATGTTCTCCGAAACTACAGGACCGTCAGAAAATTTGATACATAAGTGTTAATCGGGGACCCAAAGAAGGTCATATAACTTGTATAATTGTATTGAATTAGCTTTTTTTCGAAAGATAATTAGTTGTATTTTTACAATAGACGAATATTGTCTACCCACAATCTGGCACTGGGTACATAATAACTATTTATAGTTACCACAATATAGTTGGTTCGAATCGAATTAAAAAAAATGGTGTGGCGTTCGAAAGAACCGCAGGTTGCCGACCCGTGGTCACTTTGAAATAAATATATATTTTCTCATTTTTATTACAATTTAATTTATTAAATTTTACATTCACAATTAAATATTGATTAAAAATGCTTAAAAATTAAAGTAATTTTGCATTTACAATACAATATTGATTTAAAATTAAATTACAAATTGTTGTGATAAAAATAAGTGTTATTGGTGATTTTTATATATTTTTTTTTCAAAAATGAAAAGGACTGACATAATTAACTCAGGAATTTATATTATCAGCTTTAGGTACATATCTTAATCTCGGTTTAGATAGCATGACGGTTTCGTATTCGATTCTGAACTCTCTTACATTATTTGTATCAAAAACAAGATCAGATAGTCGATACGAAGGTTATACCTTTTTTTTTACCTTAAAAAATTAAGGAATAATTATTTCAGGAAACTTCCAAGTTTCTTTATTAAGCTGATGGTTAAAGTCAATAGCCTTCTTTATCTTCCATTTTAGGGTTCCGTACCCAAAGGTAAAACGGAAACCTATTACTAAGACTCCGCTGTCCATCCGTCCGTAAGTCTCCTGGCTGTATTTCATGAACCGTTATAGTCAAAGTAACATATATTATGTATTTCTGTTACCGCTATAAACAACAAATACCAAAAACGTTGTTATGTTTGCATACAACAAAGCGCTTTATTGCGTTTTTTATGAATCCCTACGGATACTTTAGCACGTTCGACTCGCACTTGGTTTTATTTCTTGCAGTTTTCATTCAACCGATCAACCTGCCGTTTGGAAGTGAACTAAACATGAATTTCGTTGGTCAAACAGCTCTCGCATCAGGATTTGGTGTAACTAATGATGGTAAGAGATCACAGTATGATTTTATCATAGCACACAACGCTTTTTTTCACGTCTGTTCTAATATACTAACAACATTATAAAGAGGAAAGATTTGATTGTTTGTTTGCAATGAATAGCTTCGAAATTACTGGAGTGATTTTAAAAATACTTTCACTTGCTCCCGCAAGCTACATCATATGCGGTGAAAGTAGGCTATATTTTATCCCGAATAACAACAAATAAAGGGATAAAAATGGGAGCGGATGTTCGTATAGGGAATTAAAACGTAACCATAGTAACTATTGCTTGCTATTCCTGGTCATATCATTATAATTATATCCGTGTCATGATATGGATCGATATCCAAATAATCCGTGGTCCTAGGGACCTCAGCGACGTCGCGTGTTAGTGTTAAATAGATATACAATAAAGTAACATACATTGTTCTGATCACTTGTATTTTAACAATCTGAAACAACGAACGCGACTACAGACCCGAGATAATATAAAAAAAAATACTTTTCTACAAATGCCCGACCGTGAACCTCAAAGATGGCAACACTTTTAAACCGGCATGTAAGACACGCGGCACGGATGTCTTCTAATAATATTTATATTATTCAGTTTTATTTGTTGCAAAGTTAATGTTTGACCTGAAACTCGAATTCCCTGTCACATAATAGGGAATACGCACATTTTTGGAAAATGTTTTTATATGATAATTTACATTGATATATAACTGTAAAAAAATACCCGGCACCGAAAAACTAAAATTTTGTAACATTAATGGATATTGAGTGATTGATTATTATTCATTTACCCAAATTGATTAATAACTAATCGATTTTTTAAACTATAATAGACTTTTTAATAAATCATATAATTTACCAAATTGGTGAAATAAAAATAATAGCTTTAAACATCATTTAAATTGTAATCAGTTGTTAATTTTGCGACATAATAAATTGATGTTATTGCATCGATGTTAACTTTTTGTAACAACGACATCCCTTTACGTGTACATTTTCGTCACATCCGTTCTGACAAGTAGCGTGGCGTTTAAATATTTTGAAGTTACCGCATTTATTTTGCACTTTTTAATAATAATTTTCAAGACGAAAACGAACTAATGTTGAAAAATAGTTAGATAGACAGTAATAACGACTGTAATAAAATATATTTAACCCTTTTTTGAATCAGACGCATATTCCCTATTGTCATTTAATAATACTTATGAATTTAGTCTTCCTACCATTTTCTACTACATCGAATGTAAATGCAGTTACATGTTACTACCACATTTCCGTAGTGTAAAATATCCTTCATCCAGATTTTCGAGTGAACATTTTCATTTTCAGGTGAACAAGTAAGCTTAACCCAACCTATTACTTCGGTGAATTTACAAGTAATCTCCAACATTGACTGTCAAAGAATCTATGGGAACCTGATCCAAGGCTCACATTTGTGCACTAATGGCGTCAATGGACAGGGCATTTGTCGTGGCGATACTGGTGGTCCTTTAGTGACTACAATAAACACGAGAAGAATACTTGTAAGTTGATTTCCCAGAATTAAAATACGCTTAGAGTAGAAATGTTGTGGATACGAGGGACCCTCCACGCTGACCCGGATTGGAGGGTATTGACGACTGCAAATGCAACGGGTACCAACAGCTTAACGTGCTTTCCTAAGCACGAAGTAGCTCGAGATAATAATTTTTTGGTCACCCATCCCGTGACCGACCCATGCGAAAGTTGCTTAACAGCAACGATCGCGAGCCGCAGCGCTTATCCTCTACGCCACCGAGCTACTTATTATAAACATGAAAATTTCTCATTACTATATAGATAAAATTTTGTAGATTTCAATGTTACTTCTTCACGCTAAAACTACGGAACGGATTTAATGCCTAGATTAACGTACTTTTTATAACACTGAATGATTCTTTCTATAAATCCTATTAATATTATATATGTGAAAATTAATTTGTTTGGACATTACGCCGAAACTACTTAAAGGATTTTTATGAAATTAGGTATACAGATAGGGCATTAACTGTCTTAGATAATGGGATACTTTTATCCCACTAAATAGTTCCCTAGGAACCACGCGGGCGAAGCCGCTGGCGAAAAGCTAGTATATTATAAAGTTATCATTTAAACTGCGTAGACAAAGCCGCTGCAGGTCAATTCTACTAATATTTACGATTGCTTAACGATACGATTATTATATCATATCTCAATAGAATTTCAACTTCTTGCATTTTACTATTGTATTATAAGAGGTACTCCACCTAAAATCCAATATTATTAGTGCGAAACCGTGCCGAGCAGCTAATATCCTATTCGTATACCAAATTTCATCAAAATCCTGACAGTAGTTTCGGCGTGATTGACAGACAAATATCCAAACATCCTAACAAATAAACTTTCACATTTATAATATTAATAAGATAATGGATTAATAAGGTAGTGGAATTGCAACATGAGAGTAGTAGTGATTCTATTGAAATACTATTATTACGTAATATTTAGCAGAATTACTTGTGTGGAATGCGGCAGATAAACCTAAGCACTGATAGTAAATACCTACATGATTCTTCAAATAAAATCCACCTTTATCAACTACTGTATTTTATATCGACTTATATAAGTAGTATAGAATATTTTAAAAAGATAAATGATATTGCAGAGTAAAATAATAAAACGAAAACTAACTTAAAACGAAAATCAATTTAAACCATTATCCGACCAAAATAAGTCGACACGTCTAAATTTGACGATTTCTTTTCTGTCATTGTCAATTTGATTTAAGCAGCAAATAGTTTAAACAAGTATAATACTAATTTTAGTCCTCGATTGTGATGTATAATATTATTACACCGAGGTTCACAAATGTTTATAAAAAATTAGGTTGCTATTTTTTTATCGGTAATATGGCTTTAACTAATGACAATTTTAATTGAGGTTTTTGCAAGTAGGTCTACATGTTATTATATATGAGGTCAATGTCAATGATACTTATCAATATTTATTACAAATTTATAACCGTGACAATGCGACTAGTAATTTCCACATCCAGTCAGTATCCACAAGATCTGTTGTACATCGCCAGCACACAAACTCAAATTTTCAAGCGATATATTTTGCAAATACTGACTGGATTTGTAAGGAGCTAGATATCGTAATTTTACAGTTATAGCGATGAACTTCCGCAAGCTAACGACTGATTCTATTAAAAAAATATTACAGATCGGCATCGGTTCCTTCACCTCAACCACAGGATGCCAAGCCGGTCATCCATCAGGCTTCTCTAGGGTCACATTTTTCGTACCATGGATCAATTCTGTATAATGGATACAGTACCTACACAACATTTTGACAACAGTGGTTATCACAACGTTTTAATTAAACTATCATTTCAAATCGTTTTATTATTATTCTTTATCATTAATCGCTAGTGTGAACTTACATTATCAAAGATCATTGTCATAAAATATAAGATCTACTAACATATATTCTCTAATTTGTCACTTTTATTAATTTGCTATCTTGGTTACTTTATTAGTGTGGGTAAAATCTTGCAAGCTAAATTTATCCCACTTGCTTTTGTTTGAGCTGAGATTTTTATAATTGTTTTTGTTTTAGATAATTGCTTTTTTATTGTCTGTCACTTACTGTTTATTGCGAAGGCAGTAAGACTCCTGCTTTACTTGTGTTGCATTTGTTTTTAAATATATCTATTTCTTGCTTTATCTCTTTAATTTAACAGTCCAAGCTCTTGCTCTCGATTGCAAGATCTCTGGAATCAAATGAAGCAACCTAAAGGAATTTGGTCTCTTTTGATTTGGCTTGAAAAGGACTTTCGTCCGAAATAATCTTAAATCTGATAATGGAACTGGATGTTCACATGAAAAATTTTAAACTATCTTAGCACCATTATTACTTCAGCATAAAATAATGTTCTTCAAAGCAAGTTTTAGAGTTGTATTCGGTAAAATATGATATACAAGTGTATACAAGCAGAAGGATAATTGACGATATCTAGACACTAAGTCATAAAAGTGTGAATAAGTGGAAGATACTCTACCGCCATCTCTTGACAATCATAAACAACAAATAATCCAAAATTACATAAATGAACATCTGGTGATTTTTCAAAAGTTCAACACAACTATCAAAAGAAATGTCTAAGTAAGAAATCAGCAATACAAAAACGATTAGCGGACAAACGTACATCCCAAAACGATATCAAAGCGTCCTGTCAGATTGAAAAATGAATAAAGTTATCAGTCCGGAGTGGGGAATAATTGAGAGACGAGCGCAATCGAGATATGATGGATCTCACACCTACCAAAAACTCCATCGCTTTTCAAAGGGTAAATCTATATTTAAGTGCCCCGAGAAGCTCTTGTAATTACATTTTTATGTTGTAGGGGCTCCTTCCTTACTAATGCTTCGACAAATGCGAATATAATAGACGGCCGAAGTTTCCGATTCGGCGATCTTTTTCGAACGAGCGTCCGGCTTTTCATTACACTCTCAATAAAGATGTTACGTTTTAGTTTCTGTATATTTTTATTTCGTACGGATTACTTTGAGTGATGTACATTATTTTTAGACTAACTTGTGAAATTATCCGTTTATTTATATTTATTGTGATGGATGGATGTTCAAAATGGGATCCTCTGTTGTTCTTTCTGATGGGCGAACATTTGCGCGGTTAGCTAACAGTTACGGTTCGGCTCATGCAAAAAAGAATAAAGGATAAAACTATCACTTAGAAAATTCATCGTGACACTTTAGATTTAGTTCTCTAATTAGAATGAACAATGTAATGATATTTTACTATATATTCTAAAGTATTTAAACAACGTCTGTGGTCAAGTGGCTCGCAGGCCAGATTCGAGGTGTCGCCATCACTGAGCTCCCGAGTTCAATTCCTGGTCGAGTCAATTTAGAAAATAAACTTTTATATATTGGCTCGGGTTTTGTTTTGTTACTTTCATTGTTTCAGATTTCCATACTACAAGTGCTTAAGCTACTTAATATGGAATCTGACACATAATTAGTGTGTTTTGTTGTCACATATTTTTTTAAATATTTTTATTTTAATTAAGTGAATACTTATAACAGTATGTTTTTGGTTTGGATGGCTTAGCTAGTATCAAATCCCCCGGCTGCATCTACAGTCGTAAACACCCACCATTTCGCTCTGGGAGTCTGGGCCCGCGTGTTGATTCCATTCTCCCTATTTGATTCAATGTCATACATATAAAAGGCCTGTACTTCAGCAGTGGGAACATGAACAGTCTGATGATGATGAAAGTATGTTTTAGTATACTTCACTTTCAGTAACCAATAATGAAAATCTGTACTCACGATATTGACATTTCCACACGAAGCCAGTTCCTTCCTTCTTATTATGGACTATTTACATGAAGTCAGTAACCAATCCAATCAGTCAGTCCAGTATTATAAAATAAGAAATCATTCTAATTTATCGGACTGGCTAGATTATTGGTTCAAGGACCGCCCAATCTTATTACCATGTATTGGTTCTTACAAATGGTCCCTTAGGCCCGTCTTATCGCTTGGATCTCAGGCAAAGAAAATATAAATATATTTTTTATATTCGTATGTAACAACAAACGACAGTCCATAATTCCCTTGTAATACAAACGGTCTGTGGTATTATGATCAAGCGTCAGGGTTGGCTCTTTACTATTCCATTTTCTACTTAAATTTAACATTTCTTTAACACTGAAAAAGGTCAATAATATTCGTTGAAGACAACTTAATTAATGCAAAATTTATAGAATTATTAATATCCTATTTTAAGAAATATTTGGGATTTCTTTTGTAATTGTTACCAATTGTGCTATCTTTACCCATATGTATGCATTGATTTAAGTGTATTATAGTGTGTATATTTTTCAGTTCCTGTTTTATAATGTAACTCCTTTCTGGTAAGTAGTGTGTAATCTAAATTCGAATATCCGTAGACAGCTACACTTTCTTGCTTTCCCTGGTTACAAGTTCATTCTGTCAATAAACTCTATAGTACGCAATTCAATAAATGTTTTATTTCCAACAGTTCCAAGTTAAAAATTAATTGTCCACTACCTACAACTGCATTACAACCTTATTAGAAACCCTACAATAGTGTCTCGTCGTGGTAATACATAATACCTTACTCTTTGATAACACCCCTACGAATATGTAATAGGGTAACACGTTAAACATACAATGTTATTTGTTTAGGTAAAAAATATTAATTTTAGATGGTTTTTAGGTTTTCTAAAATAAATATCTAATTATTATTCTCATCCAACATAAAAGGTCACGGTCAGTTGACCAACTGCATGGACTAATATCAAAGTTAAATTAATATCAAAGTTAGTTATGTAATCCATATTATATAGTATTATATTTGTTTTCACCACCAGCCCTTTTACGTCCCCACTGCAGGGGCTCAGGCCTTCCTTATGGATGGTTGGGCTATTTATTTACCAATACTTAAATAGGGATGATGACTGGGTAAAAAAATGCAATTCAATTTAGTCCGTCGGTCAGATAATAGAAAAATATTTAGAACGTATTTTTTTTTACTTCAATTTAACAAGAAATAGCTTAGATAACAGGCAATAAAGTTAAGGAATGGGGGCTCGCTACGTCACAGTTTAGTAGAAAACGTACCATAACGTGACGTCATGCGAAATTTCAACTCCATGTAACGCCGTAATTTTATGATTACGAAAAAAATAAGTGTTTAATATTTTTTAACACTCTACCTGACGGACAAACAAACAAACAATTAGTCGTTATCCCTATTATAAGTGTGAAAGTAACTCTGTCTATTACGTTTTCATGTTTTGTTTCGGATTCCTGAATTCTATTCCTGAACCAATCGTAATGAAATTAGGTACACCGATCTAGTGGAGAAATAATTACGATAAAATAAAGCTGAATTTCAGGATGAGCTCCACGCTCGATTCCAGAACTATTTGTATGTTACAAAGTACAGAATCCTTTCCTTGACTATTTTTAAAATTAAACTCATATCTAATTGAAAATCATACATCGAAATAAGAGTATAAAACAATCCAAACATTAAAACTCTCAACCATTATCAGGCCATCCGCTTTACCAAAATATTAGACAGTCAACTATAGATTTGTTATCAGAGTCGTTGTTTAAATACATTAATTATGCACTGACGGACTTTAACCGATGCGCTTGATATCATTTGACACAGAAACATACCTTAATAACAGTTCATAATAGTGAAACGCGCCCAAGGGAATAGACATATCGTGCTAGGCATTCATAAAGTATGTGTACATAGCATACTAATAACTTTGACTATTGAATGCGTTCTGTATAGATACAATTTATAAAAGTAAAAATGGTGATTGAAGAACAATAGGGGAGATGCGGGCAAGACGGGGTATCTAACGTTTACGAAACATAAAATAATCACCCTATAAATTAAAAACCTTAAAATGATTTTTAACGTTAAAATGATGGACATTATTATTTTTACTGCTAAATTGTATGCTAATGCCTTTAAGTCTTTGGTTGAAGTCCGTAAAGACGAGTCTCCATATCCAATTTAAAGCCACAAAGCTCATTTTCTTCTTCTTCAGTTAAAATAGATTGTTTATGTCATAAGAAAATGTTCACCTCAATACTTGTAGATTAAGATGGGACCGAGTTCTCGCGAGCTCTTTTGTCTTTACTTTCTAGAGTAGTCTGAATAACTGAAAATGTGTTTGCTGCTAGCGTATACCCCATTTCCCTTCTACAACGGTTTCAACAGCTTTTTTAATACTCTCTTCCGACCACTCGCCTCTATTTGTCTTTCTCTTGTATTTTTTCACCACGCTAAAACAAATAAATCCGCCTATGCATTACACAGCCAAGTCACATGCATATATACATTCACAAACATACATACCTATAGAGAGGGAGATTCATTAATATTTATCAACATAGAAACTCGAACAGTAACCAAAAACTTAGGTTACGGTTCGAGGTCTCGATGTATTAAAAAAAATCAAAACAAACAATAAACAAGATAGAAATAAAACAGTTTTTATGACGATAAATTCTTATCTAATATACACTACTATTATTTGTTTAGGAAACACGTACTAAATGAATCGAGAAAATAAGAAGAAATCTTGCCGAAATCACTTTTGTTTTGATAACCTAAAAAAACGTGTCGCAACAATCACACACGTGAGTGCACTAAGAGCGGAAGAGCCGTCATGGCGCCACATCGTCTGTGCAAGTTTATACATGTTCGCGAGACTAGAAGCGACTAGAAGCATAATACAGCGGCTGCCCCATCTTGCCGCATCTCCCCTACTTAATAAAAAATGTTAATTCCAAATTATACTATAACAATTTCAGTTTTATATAACTAGTGAATGCATCGACTATATAGAATAGAAGGAACTTTTTCATGATAACAAACAATACATAAAAAAGAGACAAGTCATAAAGAAGAAATTAAGTACATACTTTATCTACGATACATTAATTAATTCCATTAACTAGTTATTTATATGTATTTGACTGAGATATACTGAATTCAACTATGATTAGTAGATAACAGAACTCCATAAAGACTTACGATATAAGTATGATGATAGTCTTATGAAAATGCTAGCCAACTTAGTTCAGGTCATTGGTCTGTAGGACACAGGAATAAACAATCGCATCAATAATTAATCAATTAACTTTATGAATAAACATTTTGAATAAATCCTTATTGTTATTCAGTTCTAGACGAAACGCTATCAGAGCAACACGTTTCGCACCCATCGAGGTCACGATCAATGACGTCTCGCGGAATCACGAATATTTCTGTGTCTTACGAAACGGCGGCGTCATCGTATTACCTCATGTCTACCTCTATTATTAGATAAGCACGCAAGCCGGCACACATTTACGCCCTAGTGACCACCAAACTTTACAATAACGCGAACGCGTCTGCCGCAATGGCCCGTACTTTATTACTCCTGTCATGCTTTCTCTCCATTGTTTATACCGCGTACAGTTACAGAATTCTCGGTGTATTTCCATCTCTAGATCGCAATAACTACTTGACATACAGAGGACTATTCAAAGAGTTGGCGAATCGGAACCATGAAGTTACTCTGATCAGTCACTTTTCTCTACCAAACGCTCCAGCAACATACAAAGAGATATTACTGAGTGATAATCCATTAGTGTTTAAAGGTTTGTCTTACGAATCAGTGATTGTGAATGAAATTGCTCGTGTGCCCTTCGAAACTTTAGTAGCGACTAAATCCGGAAACGATGACTGCAAGACGCTTATGAACAACCCTCATGTGCTACATATGATTGCTACTCGACCTAAATACGACGTGGTGATCGTGGAGTCGTATAACAGTGACTGCGGATTAGCGCTCGCTGCAAATCTAAGTGCAACTTATATAGCTTTCAATCCGCAACCTATACAACCTTGGCAATACAACAGGTTGGGTATCACATTCAACTCTGCGTGTGTAACCCAAGCTGGATTGTCATACGGCAAAGAACCTTGGTTCTTTGACCGCGTGAAGAGTTATGTCTTATATCATATATCAAACTGGGTATACTATGTCGGATCGCAGGTTACTGATCATGTATACTTGTATAAATATCTAGGAGATAATTTACCATCATTGGAAAGCATAGCGGTGAACGCAAGTCTTTTATTAGTAAACACTCATCAATCTGTATACGGTGGTTTTGTTAGACCTGATAATGTCATTGATGTGGGCGGGATACATATCAGACCTCCCAAAGTTATACCCACGGTAAGTAGTGATATGTCATAATATCTATATAAAGAACTAATAAAAGTTAAACATTTCCATACGTAAAAATCTGTTTGGATTAAACGTGAATATCGTCATCGATAATAATATAAATGACGAAGGCGTTCTGTCATGTTAATATTGGTTTTTGATATTTGTGTTAAAATCGTAATTATGCTAGTTTTATGAAATGTGTACTGACAAATTGCAATTAGATAAAATCTTACGTACTATAAATTATAGTTTTTGTGTCTCTGTGCTATAAATATTTATTTGCGATTCAATTTCCGCACCACAAATCCCATCAAATTTTGATGTATATTTATAGCAATTGCACAACCTATCATTTATTAAAAAAAAATAATACTCATACAGTTTCTCGCTGAATTGGTAATATTTTTGGTATATAATTGGAAATCAATACAATTTCTACACTTGTCTGGATTTTACAGATTTTTTTCTGTATTTTTTTTAATCTTATTAATATTTTTAATTATACTTAAACAACTTGCATAAGCTTATTTAGCAAATATCTGTTCACCCGCGTAGTTAAAGAAAATTAGCAATATTAGAAATAATTAATTAGCAAAGTGCCCAAGTCTCAGAAATTATGAAAAATACTACTCTGTACACGACGTTTTTTCGGCGATATAGAGTGCCATATGTATAACCGCTATGGCGTAAAAGAGGGACAAACAAATAAACATACTTTCCCATTTATCACATTAAGATTTTGTCTACTCTTATATTATGGTATAAATATAAAAAAAATATTCCAGCGTAATAATAAAAAAATCCACCATTTCAGGAAATAGAAAGATTTATAAATGAAGCCGAATATGGTGTTATTTACGTAAACTTGGGTTCCACGGTAAAAGACTCCACTCTACCAAAAGATAAATTGAACGAACTCTTATCAACATTCGGGAAATTACCACACAGGGTGCTTTGGAAATGGGACGGCGCGGTCCCAGGGAACCTGCCAAGAAACGTTATGACAATGAGATGGTTCCCGCAATACGATATTTTAAGTAAGTACCCACTGTGAGCGTAACATTCTGGTAACGTCTAGATATATGTGTGCGGAGAATTTTTCTAGACATTGTTCCGAAATGGAAGTTATTTGAATAATTACACTGTACATTGTAAAGATAAAGGTACTGGTACCATTAATTTCCATAATGTTCTGTATTCTAGAATCGAATTCGAATCAAAAATGAAATGTACAAATTTTAACAATAGCAAAATTGACAAATTTGCATATTTAACTTGATTATTCCAATTTAGATTTTATCGCGTTAAAAAAGTTTTTCATTACAGCAATCAAAGTATTGTAGAGTACACAAACAACAGTTGTTTTCATTTCGGATCTCTAATTGCATTTCTCATATCTCCTGTACTTTTATGCAATCAGCTTTACATTTTGTTTTTCCTGGACTAAGATGAACTGTATCGCAATTTTTAATAATATATTTCGGTCAAACTCTGTTGAAGATGCATTTTATTATGTTACGATTGACTTTATATTAATAGATTGACATTTATGATTCAAGTGAAAATTAAATCGCAATATAATTAATGTATACGACCCGAGGGTTACACTTAGTTTCATAATTGATTATTTTTTTTGAGATGACAGTGTTGGAGTAAAGGAACTAAATATGGAATAATATACCAATTCTATTTTAAGTATACTTATTAGATTCCAAATTATTGTTTAAATGAATTTTAGTACACTCTAAAATAAGCCAAGAGATTTCGTAGACCCTATTCCAATTTTCTAGACTTGTAGACAATTTACAAATTATTTATTTGGTTACTTTCCTTTACTATCAAAGTAGTTCATTAAGTGCTTTTGAAAATAAACAAATCATACTCATAATAGACAACATATAAACCGAAAAATATCAAATAGATATTTTCAAATAGATAGAGAATTGAAATAAATAAATAATGCACCAATTAATACGCAAACACTTATTACTATTATCTTTACTTTAAGATAAAGATAGACAGTGATTAGTAAAGTATCGGTAAACGAGATAATGTTCTAAGATCATAGTGTCATTTGGACATATTCATATTAAAATCTAATTCAACTTTGAAGTCATCATTCCAAAACGGCTTCGTATCATCCAATTCATCATTGTCATCAAACTATTAATGTTACCATTGCTGGCGCGAGCACAGGCCTTCCATGACATATAGAATAAAAAGAACGGGTTATAATCAACCACGAAGGGTCAGTGCGGATTAGTTGGCGTTTAAAAAAATGCGACAGCAGATACAGTCAAAATCATCACTACTCGCCAAGGAGCATGGAAATTATAAATATAACATTTCTTTAACCTCTTTTTCCTGAACAAAATCCTAACCACTGCGACATAGTTCATTTTTAATCCAATTGACCTAATTTACTCTAATAATTTCTTGTTAAATGCTAAAAAAACGAAATGTTTAAGGTTTTTGTCACCTTTGTAAAAGCAGAACTAACAAAAACAAAACTTAATTATGAAAAGCTAGGGTTGACATATTCAACTGTCTTCTTTTGTGTAACACTGGATTCTAAATTACAATGGTATCTTCAAATTTCATTATTGGCTGGAAGTTTGTAGTGATTGGATGCAGTATCACGCAGTTTATCGTTTATCATACTATTTTACGTTACAACGTTATGTTAAACGTTAAAAAGTATATATATTCGATTGACGAGTAAATATATACTTTTTTATATTTCCTAATATTTTGATGGAAAATGACATCATGTTTTAATCTTGACGACCCTGTATGAAATAAAAAAGGGGAAAAAAAGCAGCCCTTATCGAGTTTCTCTCTGGTTTTTCTCGATACAATGTTTCCCTCCATAGACTTACGAATGGATGGCAAAGAGTTTCGACTTTCACGAGTGCTTTGGAACAGCTTTAACCGAATAAACGATTTTGATTTGATTTGAATTACCTGTACCGATTTTTTGGGATTTGCAGGACACGATAACGTTAAATTGTTCATATCTCACGCGGGTATTCTAAGCACAATTGAAGCCATCGATGCCGGTATACCAGTTCTTGCTATACCCTTATTTGGAGATCAGTATGGAAACGCGGCAGCTATGCAGGATGCTGGTGTAGCTACAATAGTCTCCTATCAAGACTTAAGGAAGGAATACCTTTTGGATGCCATTAATGAAGTGTTAGATACAAAGTAAGTAAAATAATTTCTACAATATATATTTTAATATACTATAACTCATTCTTGATGATATAGTAGAAATAAGTTTGATTAAATTTCGTGTACTGTTTGGTTTCAGTTATTCTATCTCTCAATTCTTATGCAATAAAATTAGAAGGTACTTGATATTACATTTCACTTATTCGTAATATGTTTATAATTTAAGCCGTTTATAATTTTTAATTTTGCGAAGTTTATAATTTTGCGAAGGTTGATCTTGCAGTAATATCGATTTCAATGTTGTTACCTATTTGTTTATTAATAGTTCATAGGAGAATTAATTTGTTTTCAAATTTAAACTCTAAAATCACTATCAGATTTCCAAACTATTTAGTAACTTTGATTCACAGTCACTTTCAATTTCTTACGTTATTCATTTTGTGTCTCGAAGACAATACACAATTTTTACATGAATAAATTTACAATATGGGGGTTAAGTCTATGACTTTTGCTTTAAGTGTGAATAATACAACAATTTTGTTTTAACAATTAAACTAACTAACTTTTTCATCTATTCCAGATTCCAGAGTCGGGTGAAATTGGTGTCTAGATTATGGCACGACCGTACTATATCACCGCTTGAAAGCGCCATCTATTGGACGGAGTATGTAGCACGGTACCAAGGAGCACCGAATCTCCAAGCGACATCTACAAAGTTGCCCCTTTATCAGCAGCTGCAGCTGGATGTGCTAACATTTATTGCTCTTGTAGTTTATATTCTTTATTATGTAGTAAAAAAAATATTCTCTGTATGTTGTTGTTGTTGCTGTAACAATAGCGCAGAATCTCATACTGAAGTGATTGAAGAAAGACGATCTCGACGTGTTAAGTTTGAATAAGGTATTATTTATTAACTAGATTTTTTAATGTGAAAGCTTTAAATAATATTATATTAATGGATTGTTTATAACTAAATGTAGTATAATTTAAATTCCTAGTTAAAATATAAAGAAATTTAAATACCCGCACTTAAGTTATTGTACACACACTGCTACATAGGAATCTATTATTTAATTTGAACTTTAATAATTCAGTAAACAAAAACAACCAAAAGCATTGATTAAATATGCTGAATTATTAAAATTAAACGAAATTTACAAAATGTCGAATTGCTACAAACAATGCTATTTCGAAAAGAAAAACAAACCAAAATGTTTGATAAAATATATATATTAAAAAAAAAACAATTAATTTTAAAAGAATATAAACAGATTCATAAGAAATATATATAAAGCGTAGGTTATAGCTACGACTACGGCTACGTCCATGAGTTAGGCGGTCGCGCCCCAGGCCTTCCCTATGGATGGAATTGAATCAAATCGAATAGGGAGAATAGGCCATGACCCACCACGCGGGTCTAGTGCGGATTGGTGGGTGTTAACGAGTGCAGATGCACTGGGACTAACGGCATAACATGCCTTCCGAGGCACAGAAGAACTCGAGATAATAAATTTTTGGACACCCATTCTATGACCAGCTCTTGCAAAAGTTGCTTAACAACCGTATCGCAGACCACCAGCTCTACACCAGCTCCACACGCTGTTTATACACTTATTCATCAATACTTCTATTAATATTATAAAGAGAAAAAATTATATTGTTTGTTTGTTCGATTGAATGAATAGGCTCCGAAACTAGAGTGATTTTAATCCTTTCACCTACGGGAAGCTATGCGGTGCATCATATGCGGTTTACATAGGCTATGTTGTATCACGAAAAAAATAAAGGGATGAAAGTGATAGTAGAAGTTAGTATGAGGAATTAAATGTTACCATAGCAACCACTGTTTATAATCCAATTTGTTATTGTAATGATATCCGTGTTATGAATGGATATCCAAATAAACAGTTCACTAGGGACCACGCACGCAGGCAAAGCCGCTGGTGGAAAGTTATTAAAGCTAGTAAGTAAATAAACACAAAATTGTAAATTAAACTCAAGAAACTCATAAGGATCGATTGGTTTTAAAAATTAAATGAAAATGTCTTTATTCAAGTAAGCTTGTTTCAAACACATTTAAATCGTCCAAAAAAAATTTTCCCCCTACCACTCTTTCAAGACGTCTTTTAGCTGACATGAAGAACAAGCGAAAGAAACTTACCAGCTCTATCAATTATCATTAATCATGACATTTTCATAAATTATGTCATTGTTGTCTATTTTAACAATAATAAATACAATTTTTAAAGTCTGTAGGACATAGGTTGGTACATATAATTAGTCGTTATAGAACAAAAGGCTATTAATTCCATGAATTGCGGTCCTAAAAATAATCATCAACTTTATAACAGCCTTTACTTATAAATATGTTCTTTACATGAATTTTTAATTTATTTATGGGTAGGTCGATTACATTTTGTGGAACTTTATTGAACATAGCAATGAATTTACCAAGGAATGATCCTCTGGTTTTTTGAAGTCTTATATTCTTTGGTGTTTTTCAATTTATATATTTATGACTTGACATTATTTTGCTATATACAAAACCAATTGTACAAAGAATTAACATATTAATAAGATTGTATGCACTCAACCGTTTCATCTAAATCTCTTACGGTAGATTTAATTCATATTACCCAAACTTGGGCACTTATTCAAGTGATATTTTGATGTAAGAATATTGACGCAGAGCAACCTTTGAAGTTTAAGCCTGGGACATTAGAACAGTCATCAGAAGCAATCGGACTTCATTCAAAGTAAGTCATAGGAAAAATGAAAAATTGACTATTACAATGCGGATTGCGTCGCGACCGTTACCTAGGTCAATCGACAATGGTTCCAAGGTGCGCCTTGGAACGATTGTCGAGCGTTGTCAAAAATCAAGACAAAATTAATAAGGAATCAGAACGCGGGGCAACATCATTGAATTAGGACTGTCCCGGAAAATTCGGGACGGGTGGCATCCCTGTATCGAGGAGCTATCTCTAGGGTTAAGCGATTCCCTATTCTGTAGAAGTTCGGTACAGATTTGGAAACTTCTAATCTTAGAATGTGCCATTACCGCTTTTGATATTAAGATGGTAACTTCTTCAAGCGAAACTTCGAGTTTCACAATAAAGTCTTTTGAGTATAAATCGGAGTCCCATATTATAAGCAAATAATATTTAGTAGTGGAACTCGGTGGTGCGTTAAGCCGTTGGTATCGGCAGCATATGCAGCAGTTTACCATCCATCCGTGCTGGACCCGCGTAAGGATCATATATATTTTTCTTATTCGTTTCAATTACATTTATAGAAAAGACTATGGTCCAGGAGCGGGGACATTAATATACATAAAATAATACCCATCTTCTGTCCCTATCTATGTCATTAAGCACGTTGAATTTGTCTCTTTTCCTCTATTCTCTTGACATATAAAAATATAATGTTACATAAGCAGTGTCATAGTACTTTACCAACACAGAGTTAAATTACGTTCCATTGTCCCCATTGTTTACTGCGTAGTGTATTTTCAAACGAACGTCACTACCAGATAAATGCATACAGTCTCCACACAATGTTTAACAGGCTATAAGGTCACACACTCGTTAGGAAAAAAATTGCAACATTAATGATTATAAGGAGAGTAAGGAAACCTTTATTAAATACAATATATAGGATCATTAGAATGTGTGAATAAACCTTAATCGAGAGAAGAAACATTTCAGAAAATTTGAAATCTTAAGCAGATATTTTTACCAAAAAAATGGCTCAAGACTAGTGTTGCCTGGTTCATCAGCAGCCCACGTACCATGGAAAGAACCAGTGCTCTGAATTACGGGAGATTGACCAATTTCTCAAGGCTAGTTTAGAACTAACAGATGTTTTATAAGTTTTTATCTAAAACAGTCACAATGAATAAGGAAATAACTATTAAATCTAAACGGTGTTATTTAAGATGGAGCAAAAAATCAATGGCGTTTGAAGTCAGCCATCTGTGAATCAACAGCGAGACAACATTGGCAGGCAACATGAGAAGCGTGATGGCTATCACATTTTCCTTGGGAATATTTTATCTAAAGCGTGTTTTATTGCCAGTTGTCAATCCCTTTTAAAGGTAAAGTGATTGTGACGTAAATTAATGGAATTATGTCATAATTAAAGTCGGATTGCTTTTGGAACTGCAAATGATTATTTTATTGATCAAGAAACATAAAAAACGTCAAAATAACGATATCGTTCATTCAATATCATTCAAATAGACGTCGCGATCCCTTTCACATGTTTATTATCTGTAGCGTGAAGTTCTTGAATATCTTTAAAGGTTTAATTTAAAGGAATTGCGAATGACATTCAAATTATACAAAGAACGACAATTCGTCATACTCTCGGGCCAAAAGAGATATGGCCAGGAGCAACGGTCTGCGATTCTTATTTTTTTTATCACCATCCAGGTCAAATAAAACACACTATTTGATTTCATTTTACCCATAAATTTCTGCTTCTTTTCAATTAATTTGTGGAATGGCAAACTTTATAAACCAAGGGCATTCTGATTAGCCACACCAATGATACTTAGACGATCTCCATATCAGAGTGGTTCGCACGCCAGTTTCGAGGTGTTGCGGTTTCTGAGGTCCCGGGTTCGACTGCCGGTCGAGTCAATGTATAAAATGAACTTTTCTTTATTATCTCGAATCTAGATGTTGTTGTACCTTCGTTGTCTCAGATACTCCATAATGCTCATCTTGGAATCTGAGCAATGTATATGATATTTTCTAATATTAATTTATTAATGATAATTGCAAACAAATACTTTGATTACATTGATATTATTCATGTTTTCGATCCATTTTTAAAATCTTGTTACTGAATTTTATAGCAGTTTCTCTCAACCGAAACGTTTCTCATGCAAAAAAGTGCATTAGGTCTATGTGTGGTGAGGGGTATCGTGATAGCTGTGTGCCTTTATTTAAAAGATACCTTGTTTGTAAATTTATGAAATTTGCGTTTTTATAAAGAAAAATCCAGATTTGTTAAAAATATATTGTGACGTTATAAAAAGAACTTGCCCAAATAAATTTAGATAATATGTCCCATTTTAACGATTGCAAGTTAACAGTAAAAATATCAATTGCATGGCCGTTCGTATCTATAATAAATGACCAGATGTTTGAAAATTGGGACTCTCCGCTCATTCAAAACTAATTTGTTTATTTTTTAAACTTATTACTCCGTGAAACACTATCTAAATGACATAACATTATAATATTATCTGTAAGCTAATTAAAAACTTATTCACGCGTATAATTGACATTTTTTCACTGGATTTAATTTGACATTGTTATATTTAATAATTAATTTTTTTATTTATTATGCCCGGATAGTGAAAGGTAGTGGGTTCGATTCCCATCTCAGGGTGCCAGGGACCAAGTGGATTTTTTAAGCATTTTATAATAAGAATAATTTTCAGTATGGCATTGTGAACGCAAAATTAATCAAAATATAATAATTTAATCTAATTTGACATTTTTATGTAATATGTGTACGCCGAACTAGGCAGATTTTTGTTGGATTTGGCTTGGCTATAACACCTTGGCATATGTTTTTTACCCAAAAATTTGATAAAAATTGAATTTGAATTTGACCAATTAAAAAAAATCATGATATTAATGAAGAGCGGCGCCATTTCTATGATTAACAAATAAATGAGCTGACAATAGACTCTTATCTTGGATCATGAGTGTTTATGTCTATAATTCCAATGTAGAATACATTATGTGCTTCTCACAGATGAAGCGGTTGATCTTCGAATCTACCCTCAATAAATTAAGGTTTAAAATCAAATGAATAAAAAAATACTGGATTAAAAATACGATGGAATAAAATTTAGGCAAACGCAAATCAATAAAATTTATTTATAACATAATAAATTTACAACAGCTATAAATTTCTTGTTTTAAACTTTTTAGAGCGTGATTTTGCTGTTTATTTGATACACTACACGGAATGGTTGAAAAATATATATTTTACTTTTAATTTCTTACTTTATACTCTCTAGTAAACACTGTTTTTTGTCATATATACCGGCTATAGTCAAAACCATCCTTTTCGCCTCGTCGCCGTAATCGGGTAAAAATAGCAATTTTTTTGTTCCCATTCAGAAATCAAATGTGACCAATATATATATTTATGCAATTTTCAAGTGTGATTTAAATAAAATACACTGACGAACAAATATACCAAAATTTATATAAAAACATAACAGCGACTGATATTAATTCCAAAAGAAAAAGTCTAGAGTTTCGATATTTTTTTTTTCTATATAAAGACATAATAAAACAAAATACAAAAGAAAATATTAAAATCACAAAAGTATACAAAAACTATAAAAAGGTTTTATTGTCATCGTCGACGGCAACACAGACATTTGCATCTACCTTTTGTTTCAAGTTTTTTGACATTGACTTTTTTAAATTATTTTAAATAAATATATTTCTATGGAGTTAACATTAATTATATTCGGTGTGTCTGTAAATATAAGTTTTCGTCAGACTTTCTCTCAACTTTGAAAATAACAGCCGAATCATTTATAATATTTGAGAGTTTACAAAACGAATAAAGAATTTTAAAGAAAAATCACAAATATAAAACTGTTTGACTGGAAACAATACGTATTAAAGTCAGTGGCATCATTTCTTTGTTGTCTAACAGAACTTATTTATTTAACAAATATAGATGGGTCGTTATGCTGCTCACGATAATAATTGTTAGGGATCGTTAATTTATAGTGCATACAATACTCCTGACCTAGAATTTGTACGCGATATAAATATAGTATTCAGCTAAATTTATCGCCAGTTACTCTCAAATCGTCTGCTGGACGCGCGTCCGTCACAAACAATATGAGTACCGCGTTAATGTTAACATTCCTTTTAGGAACGTTCAATTTTAATTTAGTGTGCACGTTGAATATCTTAGGGATATTTCCTTATGAGGGAAAAAGTCATTTCTTCGTGTTCAAACCGTATTTAGAAGAATTGACGAAGAGAGGTCACAACGTGACTGTTATTTCCTACTTTCCTCAAAGCGATCCTGTGGAAAATTACAATGATATAAGTCTAGCTGGCAAAGCGAAAGTGTTGGAAGAAGCATTCCCATTGTCTAGATCTTATTCGATGTTCATACATATTTCACTGTTCCTGTTCAATTATGGCTCGGCTAACTGCCGAATACTTCTAGCGGATGAACAAGTGCAGAATTTGTGGAAGAACAAATGGCAATTCGACTTGATTGTAGTGGAACAATTCAATAGTGACTGCTCTTTGGGACTGGCTCATCAATTGGGAGCACCGGTGGTCGGTATAACAACGCACACGCTGATGCCTTATCACCATGATCGATTCGGTATACCATACAACCCGTCGTATATGCACGTGCAGTTTTTCGAAGGAGGTACAAAACCTACTTTTTATCAGAGGCTGGAAAGAACAGTAGTATACTACTATTTAAAGATTTTATACAGATATTTATCACAGCGTACTGATGAAAATATTTTGAGGCAATACTTTGATGATGTGCCGCCTTTGGAAGAATTGGCAGGTAAAATTAAGTTTATACTCCTGTATCAACATCACACCATGACTGGATCACTTTTGTACCCACCTAATGTAATAGAAGTGGGGGGATATCACGTTGCAAAACCGAAACCAATTCCTGAAGTAAGTAAATAAATTTAACTTTCCAAAATATACTTGTAAATCATCATCATCATCAGCCCTTTTACGTCTCCACCACAGGGACTCAGGCCTTCCCTATGGATGATTAAGGAGTATCGGCTATAACCCTCCACGTTGGTTCAATGCGGATTAGAGGGTATTATCGACTGCTAATACAGTGGGGACCAACGGCTTAACGTGCCTTCCAAAGCACGGAGTAGCTCGAGATAATATTTTTTTGGTCACCCACCCCGTGACCGACCCTTACGAAAGTTGCTTAACAACAAAGACCGCCGGCCGCTGCTAATCTACTATGCCAGTGAGCTATACTCTTTGTCATTATATAAACATAATAAAATAAATACGATAGAGGAAATTTAATACTAATTGGCTATACATTGATAAAACATTACACATCAATGTAAGTTTTAACGACGATCTCATAATAAATGTTTTTTTAATTTTATTTTTATGAGTGGTAGGTATAAAGTAGGAATTTTTATTGCTTTACATCGAAATCAATTTATTTACATACTTTTGTTGTAACAATACGACAAAGAATTTTTTTTCCATAGACGAACATAATACCTCTAATTTTAAAAATTCTTTTATATGTAGTTTTTTTTTAATTACAACATAGAGATTAATTATTTTAAGTAGTGTAATACGTCTCGTGGTGTGTTTATAGTACTTTATCAGAAACTAGATGTTGGTTTCGCGGCAATAAATTATAGCCTACCCCATACGATGTAGTTACCATACAACATACGGGGTAGGCTGTACAACCCCGTATGTTGTAGCTACCGGTAGGTGAAAGAATTTTTAAAGTCAGTCTAGTGGTTTCAGAGCCTATTCGCATTCGATGCAAACAATCAAATCTCTCATCTTTATAATATTGCTAATATTGTATAAATTACAAAAAAAAATTACTAACTCGATTAAAATAAAATTTTGCCCCTTCACTTCAATCGGCTTATAAAATTACTTTTTTAAGAGTAGTATACCTAAATTACTCTTTATTTAAAATTCTTATAGACTTTGAAAAAAACGAAAGCACTTAAAAGCACCTTCACTAGATGGCGACTCTAGCAAAAGTTGATTTTTGCAGGAAACGAATGGATCAAAGTCAGTCATTGCCGTTCTTTTTAACTAACATTTAAAAAAAAACTGAAATTTGAAAAGTTCGAAACTTAGTTAAACTAGAATATAAGTTGTTTATTGAGTTTTGAAAATTAATTTACTTTTATACATGAAAGAAAATCGGATGGATTGTCATGGACAAATCAAGAACGTAACGTAGCGACATCTAGTTTGATTTTTGGGGAACTTATGTTCTGTTTTTAATTACTTCCTTATTAAATAGGCCAGCCACACTTAAAAATAAATAGACTAAACAAATTCGTAAACCGACCGCGAATTTATTGGACTTGTTGACAATTAACAAAATTTCCCCAACCAAGGAAGGAATTTCAATATTCGGTTTAGGAATTGTATTTACTATACAAAACTCGGAAATCGCCAATGATTATGTATTATTAGATTGTATTTTTAGATACGTATAATTTGTGACACACTTTTATTACAAGGTTTCTATAAGAACAGCCACAGCGGTATGTAGCTGAGCTGAGCTTAGTGATGACTTAGATTAATTAAAATTTTGTCGATGCACACCTAAATAAAGCATCTTTAAAAAAAATCGTCAGTCCTGTTAGGTCCTGGGGAGCTCAGTGGTTAGAACAGTCGCCCGGATTGAATAAGGTCATAGGTTCGAGTCCCATCTCAGAGTGACAGTAAGAATATTTTTCATTATAACATTGTGAATGCATAATTGATCAAATATAATAAAAAAATATTATTAAGCTTATTCATTAAAATGTTGGCTAAAATATAATTTTGATTAATTATTTGTTTATTTTATTTTACATCAACGTATTATATTTATACACATAACTACAATATATCAACACTGAATAAAATATACTGTATTGCAGTAGCTGCAGTAAAAACTATAGTTTTCCTTTTTGAAAAATGCTTAAAAAAGCCACTTAGACCCTGGCACTCTGAGATAGGACTCGACTTCATGACCTTTCAGAATCCAGGCGACCGAAGCAGTCGAAGTAAGAGTATTTTTCAGTATAGCATTGTGAACGCAAAATTGTCCAAATATAATTACGATAGTTTTTTTCTTAGATATGTTTTACCTATTGTGTAAGTAAAGGTAATCACCTAAATTTTAAAGTATTTTGAAGATGTTAGTATATCTATAATCATTGTAGTACAAACGAAATCAGAGACATAGTCTTGAACAGAAGGGAATTTTTAAATAGGTCACATAATACACATTTAAATAGGTGACAACACTTCTCTATTAAGCATAACGCTCAAAACAATATTTATGTTATACAAAAATTTTACCGATTCCGTAGTACAACCGCCTAACTGTCTAGCCATTATAATAGCTTTATATATTGACCATTTATATATTTAATCAACCAAAACTAAGGGATGATTAAAAAGGTGTTAATTTCCCGATGGGGATTAACTTTACTTCATATCATCAATACGCGCATAAGCTCATAGTTACTACAGACAGACTTATCAGCATATTTGAGCAGAACAAAAAAAGTTTAATGATTTTGATCGTTCGAGTTTATTGAATTATATTAAAATCTATGGTTAAAATAATTTATTTGAACAAAACTTTTTCTTAAACTGAAATAAACTAAAGTATTGATTAAATATAAAAGTGACTAATATATTTAAAAAAAAAAATCTAACACGTTCATTAGTAAAATCAAATCAAACCAGATTCGAACCAATAATCTTCCAATAACTGGCCAACTGCTCTACAAATTGAACTAGCGATACAAAGTACTTAAAAATATCGATATATCGAGTTTGAAATAAACGGTGACAGTAGATATCGATATATTTATATTTTATCGATATATTTTAGGTCTTCACTACTTATTTAAAACCGACAGCAGTTTAGATTTCCAAAAAATATTGTTTGTAAAAACCTTATGTACTTAAAGAAAATTATTTGATCATAAATTTATTTTATAATGTTACTGCCAATCATAGTCGGTAGTGGCTACTAAATTTAGGAACAGCAGCTTGGACAACCTGCTGCTGTGAAACCTGTTCTTACTTCGTGTAATAGTTACTCTTGCACGCGTAACATGACGAACTCGAGAGCGTTTTGTTTTGTCTTAATGTCACTTTTCTCGGGTGCACATTCAATATCTTACTCTCGACTCGAGAAAAGTGACATTTGTTGTAAATAAAGCTTTTCTCGAGTATGCTGCTTTTGAAGAAAGGCATTATATAGTCATGCTCGTGACCACAAAGGGAAAATGACTTATTTTCACTTTTTAAAAGTTGGATGGGTGGATTGGTAATAACACATTATTATTTAAATGAACACATATTACAACAATAAACTACTATAATAAAGCAAAACATATTACAATAAATAAAAAAAACTACTATAAAGAAAGAAATCTGGGTTAAAAGTAATATCACGCATGTCACTGATGATAATATATTGGTTTTCCGATAATTGAACTATCAGAATCAAAACTACAAGCACATGTTAAACACGGGTTTTATGTGATATTAAGATAAGATACGCTGATAAAGCTCCTTCCTATACTTTCGATGCAAGAAAATCTAAAAAACTACGTTTGGTTTCAACCTTTTGCTAATGTTTTCTTCTCACCTCTCTGATATCATTCTTTCTTCTTTCTTTACAAGGTCTATTCTGCTGTTATACTCTCTTTCTTCAGACATAAGAATGTCTACCAGTCGATATGCCTTTAAGTTACGCGGCTTCCATTTGGAGCGAGGATAGTTCTTTAATGTTTAATCGTATATCCTCTATAGGGGTTTACCTATGAAATTGCCTTTTCTCATAAAATAAATGAAGCGTATTTTTTTCTTATTTCTATTAATCAAAGTTATAAATAACCCATGCAATCAATGCATCTTTGTCAACGCGTTGGTAGCTTATTGATGCCCTTTGATGCCATTTTGTACTGCCTCTCGAGTATTAAATTTTTTTCCAGCCAAGAAGTTATCCAAATTCTGGAAAAGTAGAAGTCTGTAGGCGCAAGGTCTGGTGAATACGGAGGATGACGAGAACTTCCAACCCCAGCTCTTGTAACTTAGAGACCGTCTGCTGTGCAGTATGATATCGCACGTTGTCGTCCAGTCGAACGATTGACCTTAAGCTTGTTGGAGATGTGTGAGCTTCTCCAATATTGTGTTTAGTTCTTCATAGTACACATCTGCAGTAATGCTCATCCCGTTTGGTAAGAAGCTGTCATGAATTACACCCGCGTTAGTCTAACAAACAGTAACCATCACTTTTCTAGGGGTAGGTTTTCGTTTAGGTATTGTTTGGGTGCTGAACCAGGTTCCAACCAACTTGCTGAGGGTTTACGGTTGTCGAACAGGATCCATTTCTCGTCATAATTAACAATGCAGTTCAGAATCCCTTCATTTGTATACCTGTTGAGTAGTACAAGGTATGTCTCGACGCTTACTTCACGCTGGCGATTATTGAGTTCATGTGGTACCTATTTGTCAAGCTTTTTTACACTTGCCAGTTTGACGCAAATGAATCAATATTGTTAAAATGCTAACGTCGAAAGCTGCTAAATGAAAAGAAACCCCGTGATAGTCAATCTACGGATGAAATAGTTCATAATTAGAAATTATCAGCCGAAACAAAATATTTTGATTTGAAAGGGCCAGTACGGCAGAACGGCAATTTTATAGCTAAAGACTTATTATATGTACCACCTTACCACTTATTTTGCTCCACATCACCTTAAGGTTAAGGTAGAAAATCCCTCAGGCATTATGTCCGCCCTATCTGTTTGTGCAGAAGAGTTAAATAAATAAATACCTAAAGCTATCCTAAAAATACTCACGCATTAAATTAGGTCATAAACCAATTTTAAATTTTTGACGCCTTTTGCCATGAATTAAAAGAAATATGAATGTAAATATGATGATTGTAGTGAAAAGTAATTAATAACTGTTTGTGAAATCCATCAACCCTGTTGGGCCTTTTGTAACGCAATGGTTAGAGCAGTCGCTGATTGCCAAAAGGTTGTAGGATCGACTCCCAGTTCGGTTTGTCTGAGACTGGTGAATTTATAAACACTTTTCATTAATAATTAAATAATGTCAATAACAAATCAATGGCGGATGTACTACATAACTATCGTCTAATATAACTTATCTGTTAATTATTATTTAAGTGACACAAATTGGTCGTCATGCTGATTACAAAAAATAAAAAGTCATTCTGTGTGAAAAAAACTATAATTCATCCACGATATAAATGAAGTACTATTATCCGTAATGTTTAGTTATTAGTTCGCTCTCGAATCGTTCTGCTGACCGCACATCTGACAATATGAATACCGCGTTACTAGTCACATTTCTTATAGGAACGTTTAATCTAAATATAGTGTACTCTTTGAATATCTTAGGCATATTTCCTTATGAGGGAAAAAGTCATTTCTTCGTGTTCAAACCGTATTTAGAGGAACTGGCGAAGAGAGGTCACAACGTGACTGTTATTTCCTACTTCCCTCAAAGCGATCCTGTGGAAAATTATAATGATATAAGTCTAGCTGGCAAAACGAAATTGTTACAAGAAGTGTTTCCAATATCTAGATCTTATTGGATGTTCGTACATATTTCACTGTTTCTGTTCAATTATGGCTCGGCTAACTGCAGAACTCTTTTGGCAAATGAACAAGTGCAGAATTTGTGGAAAACTAAAAGGAAATTCGACGTGATTGTGGTAGAACTATTCAATAGTGACTGTTCATTGGGACTGGCTCATCAATTGGGAGCACCGGTGGTCGGTGCAACGACGCACACGCTGATGCCTTATCACCATGATCGATTCGGTGTACCATTCAACCCGTCGTATAAGCACGTGGAATTTTTCGAAGGAGGTACAAAACCTACTTTTTATCAGAGACTGGAAAGAACCATAGTATATTACTACATAAAAATTTTACATAGATATTTATCTCAGCGCACGGATGAAAATATTTTAAGACAATACTTTGATGATGTGCCGCCTTTAGAAGAGTTGGCAGGTGACATTAAGTTGCTACTCCTGTATGAACATTACACCATGACTGGATCACTTTTATACCCACCCAATGTAATAAAAGTGGGGGGATATCATGTTGCAAAACCGAAACCACTTCCTGAAGTAAGTAAATAAATTATCTTACCAAAATATACTTGTCTAATAAAATAAATACGACAGATGAAATTTAATACTAATTGGCTATGCATTGCTAGAACGTTACTCATTAAATTTTAACGACAACTTTAATTATAATAAATGACTGCGTTCAAAAAATAGAGTTATCAATTCGAGGTAATTTCGTTGGAAAGGCGTAGTATTCATATATGTCGGTCTGTAATTGCTTCTAGACACGTGTATTTATGCATGTATGTTTATTCCCTTATTTCTTGCAAACGAGATGTAGGGTACACCACAAGTTTTATCAAATTAGGTTTAATAATTTTGCCGATATAAATTAACATAATTTAACCGACTTATGAAAGCGGAAAATTTTTTTACAACTTTTAGAAAGGAGTAAAAGTTGATAACCTTTTTTTACTAACCTCAAAAAAGGAGGCCTTTTCTTTTGAAGTCGGTTAATATGCACGTCATAAAACGACTTTAAAGAAAAGGTTATCAATTTGACCTCTAACTTTTTAACCGACCTTAAACGCAATGAGGTTATCAATTTGACCTGTAGACATTTATGTAAACGCAACGATCTAAATATTAAAGCATTTTAAAGATGTTCGTATATCTAAAATCATAAGTGGTGTAAAACGAAGACAGAGACTTGCTCTTGAACAGAAGGGAAAGGTAACGTAATAGTAAAAACACTTCTATATTTAACAAAATACTCAAAACAATATTTATGTCATATAAAAATTTAACCCATAAAGCAGAGCGACCGCCTAATACTCTAGCTATGATGGTTATAACTGGTCGATAATGTCTTTGTTAACCATCGAGATGAGGGCCCAGAGGTTGCCTGCGCTCCGCATGCGGACACCCTTAACCAATGTTAATATGCTCTCACTCTAACCATAGCTAAAAGAACGTTCGTTTGCTCTAGATTATCGAACCATATTTTTATGAATGATAAAAAAAAATTACATAAACAAAGCTATTTCTGAAACTTAAATAAACTGTTTGATTAAATATGAAAATAAAGAAAGAATTAATTGATAAAACCAATCCTAGAATTATTAAATAATCGCACTGTGGTAGCCCGGGAGCAGATTGAAGAACACAATTTTCTCTGACCAATAACTTTACAAATTGAACTATATAGGTATACATTTTTAAGGGAGATTTAGATAAGATATGCCGGTAAAGCAATATGCTGAACATACTGAATCATGACCATCGTTAAAAATATGAATACCGCGGTAATTATCATGTTTCTTATAGGGACATTTAACCTCAGTATAGTGTACAGTTTGAATATCCTAGGCATATGTCCATGTGACGAAAAGAGCCATTTCTTCATGTACAAGCCATATTTAATGAAGTTAGCGAAAAGAGGTCATAACGTGACTGTTTCCTCCTACCCTCAAAGCGATCCTGTCGAAAACTACAATGACATAAGCTTCACTGGCAAAACGAAAATATTGGGAGATACCTTTCCAACTTCGAGATCTTATTGGATGTTCATAAAAGTTTCACCGTTCTTGTTTAAATTTGGTTCAAATAGCTGCAAAATACTTTTATCAAATTAACAAGTGCATAATTTGTGGTAGAACAAAAGGTAATTCGACTTGAATGTAGTAGAACAATTCAATAGTGACTATTCTTTGGGACTGGCTCACAAATTGGGAGCACCAGTGGTCGGTATAACATCGCAGACTCTGATGCCTTATCATCATGATCAATTCGGTATACAAAGCATCCCATCATATACGCACGCACAATTTTTCGAAGGAGGAACAAAACCTTCCTTTTATCAAAAAGTGAAAAGAACTTTAATGTATTACTAGAACTTTAAATTAAGTTCATACTGCTGTATAAAAATTACAGCTTGACTGGATCATTTTTATACCCACCTAATGTAATAGAAGTGGGGTATATCACGTTGCGAAACCAAAAGCACTTCCCGAAGTAAGTAATTTAAGTAAAAAAAAAAACAGTATTGTGAATGTAATCCATTTTTAACTTTGAATGAACTGAAAACTCTATTAATTTCATAAAAGAACTCTATTAATCATTAATATCTGAATTGTCTATAGATTGTAATTAATAAAAATAATTTATGTTTCAATAATCTCCGCACTAGACATGAGATTTCAAAGAATAATATAACATACTATGAAGTCACAAGAATCACAATAACATAACATTATATACATTGACTTTGTGATGTGATGAATATTGAGTGAATAAACGACATAGTAATAGTGATATCACTACTTTTAAATTCTCCATAAATGTTTCATATCCTCGAGAAGTATAATTGAAAATAACAATGAAAATCTGGCACTGGCTTCTGAATTTAAGAAACTTGTGTCTCAAAAGCTAGTTCCTTCCTTAAATTATAAACTTTGTTGGTATTGTTGAGTTAATTAATGAACTAACAATTTATTAATAAAAAAAATAATACACAATTAAGCTACGTTTACAAATGAAATTAGCGTGCCACTATTGTGTGTATGTGTGAGTGTATGTATGTGTGTATGTATATGTGTATGCGTGTGTGTAATTGTGTGTGTGTGTGTGTGTGTGTGTGTGTGTGTGTGTGTGTGTTTGTTAACAGGGGTTTTCAGCACCTTCGTAATCATATTTTTGTAGCCAATCTCTTATAGGTTTTTTTATAAAATGGTAATTATAATTTTTGCTAATACAAAATTTATTGAATAAATTATGTAAGTAAGGCGCCATATATATAGTCTATTGGCAAAAAACACTTTATTTTTGGAATTTGGTATCTGTTTTCTTTGTCGTACCTTTGTATTCTTGTTTTCGGAATCAATAGATTATTAGGTAATAACATGTTTTTTTTTTCCAGAACTGAATAATTTTAAGTTGTGGCGTTATTGAGCTTATTGTAAATATGCAGAAAAATATAGAGATTACTCAAAATTACTCAAAAGTCAATGAAAATAGTTTTTTGTACTTTTACTATATACCAACTTTTAGGTATATAGTAATAGTACAAAAATATTTTTACAGGAACAGTTTGGCAAACTGTTCCTATGGGAACAATTACAGCAAAGTGTGACTGGGCTTATCCGAGTTTTAAAATATTAATGTTGCTACAGTCAGGATCAAAATTTTCTCCTAAATCATCAATATGTATTAGAAAGATACTGTTTATATTATGTGAATGATAAAAAAGTATCACAAAATACTGATCGACGAGACTGTGATGCTTGGGGCCCGGAGCCACTAGGCAAATCTTATAATGATTAATAAAAAAGGTAGTTCTATAATAAACAGTTCCTAAACAAATAGGCAATATATAGGGCTTTGTTAAAGGGTATTATGATTTCGATGTTCGTATGATTTTATGATGATGATAACAGTAAATTTCCCCTAAATATGAATGTAATGTGCTTATTATGTAATAAATAATAATTTAAAACGATTTTTCTAAATTATCCAAATACTACAGTAACACATGTATTTACAATAAAAACTATGAATAATTTGATTCTTTATTCTTAATTTTATTACTCTGTTTTCAGCCACTTAAGAAATTTATCGAAGAATCAGAACATGGAGTCTTATACATTAGCTTCGGATCCATGCTCAAGGCAGCATCGACACCCAAAGACAAACTGAAAGTAATAATAAGTGCTTTATCTGAACTACCACAAAGAGTAGTATGGAAATGGGAGGAGAAAACTTTACCTGGCAACCCTAAAAATATCTACCTGTCAAATTGGCTACCCCAAAACGATATATTAGGTAATATTCTAAACCGTTTTATTATCACCTAATGTCATAGAAGTGAATCATTGTTGAGTTAAAGTACACACGGTTGCACGTCAGGTTACCCCATTATGTTAAACTACAATCGATTTGAATTCTACCCTCATTGGATTAAGGTTTAAAATCAAACTGAGAAATTTGATATGCTATTGACTGTAGATGGTAGCAATCCCGTTATTAACAATTCCATCCACTTTTCTCTATATTTTATTTATTAATTTATCATTACAGACTGTAATTAAAAATGAAAAAACTATCTCACCAAAAACATTATAATATAAAATGTTGCCAAGACGAGATCATACGGCTCACGCTATCAAAAACTTTTCAGATTTCATATAGACCCAAACTTCTAACTCTACACACCATAAGTTTACGAACCCTAACTTTAGACCTTATTCATAGTCATATGATATTGTCTTGGCAACATTTTACATGATTTTTGTTTTGGTGGGATTTCATTTCTTTTTTTAAAGTTGTTTATGACATATTTTTATTTTATTTATTTTCTTTTTCCTTTCTCGGGGCGTATTTCTTAGACATTAGAACTGGCTTTTCTCATAGCCCACTCTCTGTATTTGCCTTTTTTCTTTGTGAGTTTAAGAGTTCAGAAGTACCGCCATAAGCTATTTTACATATTACCTCGTAAATAAGAATCTGACTCATAATAGTTCTCCCATTGTCAGTACATGTATACAATTGTAGTTCATCCGTGTTTCACAACATGTCGCACAATAGCAGCCCTGACTTGCAATGCCACCTCAAAGTTTATTTTTCCATACATCACAAATGTTAGAGAATGGAAGAGGCAGGAACCATCTCCCGGCATTTTTATTTAACCGATTTTAAAATCCAAAAGGGGGAGGTTATATTTTCGACGACGATGTATGTTTTTTTTTCATCACACAATGACGAAGGGGTCCTCGTTCTACTTCGAGCGAAATTATTTCACTAGCCATTTAATTTTTTGACTTGTCAGGAAGTTTGACGACGTAAACATAACCAGTTTTTTAAACTGAATATATTGTTTATATAAATGAACCCATAGTGTGTTTCAAAATTGAATAGTTACTAATTAAAACTTGTAATATAAAATTAAATATCGTCATGTAGTCATAACAGTACAAGTTACTTTTATGTTATTTTCAATTGCATTTATATTTCTATGTAGTTTTATATTTTAATTTTAATCTGCATATTTTGATAATAGGCTACTGGATCGATTTTAAAAACTTCCACGTATTGCAAGCTACATCATACGCAGGTGACATAGGTTGTAACTTAAGCGGGTCACGGAAAACAGCTAGTTAATATAATAATAATTGAGCATAATATAAAAAAACAGCGAAACCAAATTTTATAACTGATCAGTTTATATAATGTGTTAAGTCACTATTAATAGCGCACTATAAAATTGTATGTGAATACCCATACAAACTACGATGAGATAACTTAATAAATTGAGCAAAAAATGCGTATCTGATAATTTTCTTTTATGTGAATGATGGGACTAAATATAATTTCTTTTTTATTACCCAGACATCATCCCTATTCGCCATCATATGACCCCGTTTTGTCTCTATCTCTATTGTTGGACGTAATGAGATGGACAGGGACGGTCAATTGTGTTAACGTGCCTAAGAGCTTGAAATGAACCGTTTTATTATAAAATAAAAACTAAAATTAGTAGATTAGTTTAAACCATTGGAAGCTTAAAGTAAATTGTCAATGATATAAGAAAAAACATTTAATAAGACAGTTTATTTTTTTGGTCAAAGAGAGTTTTAAGATAGTGTTATTTCTTAAATTAAACAAACATAGACATTAACCACACAAATAAAACTACTATACGAATAATTATTTAATTTATCACTAACTAAACAAAGGTTTCTCTTTTGCCGAACACTGTTATTGTCTGTCTGAATGTGCTTTGATGATCTCAACACGGATTCAAAAGCAATTTTCACCATTAGATAAACACGTGAACTTATTTATAATTCAAATTAAAAATATGCGGAGAGCGAAAACCTTATTAAACGTAATGACTTATATAATAGAATCAGCCGTTATTTTGCGGAAGTCCATTGCTATAACCGTGTAAATACGATATCTAGCAATTTCCACATCCAGTTAGTATGCACAGTTGCACACGCTCACTCTACAGTTGACACTGTAAGGTCTAACAACTTCTGAGGATGCTTTGTGGAGGGGCGAAGCACATGTAGAATGGTGATTTTGCGAGATTTGTTGCCGTTTGTAGATGTAAATTGATGTGCGGGCGGTGCACAGCAGATCTTGTGGATCAGACTGACTGGGTATTTAAGTTGCTAGATGTCATAGTTTTATGGTTATACTTTTCAACACTTCCCCCTAACTACGCCCCGCTGTAGGCTGTACATATCTGTCTATGGCTTCCAACCCGAATTTATAATGTGATCAAAGGACTTTGCAGCCATTTGGAGGCCCCTCCGAATCAGGCCCGAGGCGGACCGCCACCTCCCTTAGTCCGCTACTGCTTTTCAATTACTTACCTACATCTATTTTTCATACACTTGTTTTTATAGTTAGATTTATAGTTAATCTAAGTATTTGGAACACAAAATAACAAAATATTTGTCACTGTTGATTTTAATAACAGTAACAAATAAAATGCAATTAATTGACACACCATTCAGATGCCACAAAATATCAGTGTTAAGGCACTGTGGTGCAACCGCCTAACTATTTAGTCATAACTCTAGCTATTGGATACGACATCTAAGCGATGTTATGGCGATATTTCGTTTAATGTTACTATTTGATATGTAAATAAATTATTCTATTCCTTCCTTTCTTTCCATTATATTCCTTTCTTTCCATTCAATTCCATTCTGTTCTATTCTATACTGTAATTATGAACAAATCATAAAGAATGAAAATTATTAATTTGACAGCAGTGTTACCAATTAGTCGTTTATCCATCAAAAGACCAATAATATACATTTCAAGTAATAAAATTAATTGAAATTTCAATATAGTGTTCGCTAAGATGCCGTATACTTTTACTAGAGAGAGATTTAAAAGATTTAGGAGGTCGCAACCCTGATGATCAATAAAAAAGTTTCATTACTTAAACCACTCATGCATAGGTTGATAATCGTGCGTCTTTAATAACATTATTTACATTTTCAATTACAGCTCATCCGAAAGTGATGGGTTTCTTCTCGCACGCCGGCATGCTTGGTACTACAGAAGCATTTTATCACGGGAAACCTGTCATCGCTATGCCTATATTCGGAGACCAACCGTCTAACGCAGCAGCCATAGAAGAATGTGGTCTTGGAGTAATGATTCAGTTTTCAGAACTGACTAAAGAAACTCTATTGGAAAAGTTAAAGACCATATTAGATCCAAAGTAAGTGCAAAGCAGATTCAACAATAATATCTTTATATGTAGAACAGTGATAAGATATTTTTTGAGTCTTTTCTTAGAAAGTTTCTGATCACAGTTCTAACCAAACCTAACCAAACATTTTAGCAGGAAAATAATTGATTAACAAAAAAATACTGAAAGGAAAGTTAGTCTTTTTTCTTCATTGTCCCATTAATTACTATCCAGCATAATAATTGAATTATTTATAATAATCATTTTGTAATCGATCAGACATTAAATTACTATTTAATTTTGCTGTGTACATTTCATGTTATCGCTATTCACTCATTTCAAGTATATAAAACGAAGCAGAAGAATGGTTGAAACCAAAACAAAAATCAACTAAATTGAGTTTAAATAATCGCAACTTTTTAATGTAATAATAATAATAATTTATTTTGCTAGAAACATCTAGATGTAGATCTTTAGATTTTGTTATTTAGATAGTTTGTATATTATCGTAGATGGTTTTAATTTTACATAAATAATTATAAGATACAACTGCTTATTTCCATATGAAGGTACGGTACACTAATTACCCTTGTTGAATTTTTAGTAAACGTACAATCGGTAATACATTATTTATACAGCAATATGGCTGAATTCAACTGAATATCTTCCGGCAAATTCTGCTAATGTTTACTAAAGACATTGCACTGATAATATTGGACTTTAGACCATGGTAAAATTCAAGTCATTGAGTTTCTATTGAGATGGCCATTATATAGCCATGACGGCTGCTTATACTGAGTTGAGTCCTGTTTTATAAGATCTGTAAACTTCTGTTACACATAAATTTTTCGTGTGTGTTATATGGCTAAACAATTAATTATTTTCTTTCTTTCTTTCATTAAACTTCCTCCTTTTTCAGGTTTCAAGCTCAAGCAAAACGAGTTTCTAAACTATGGCACGATCGTCCCATGAGCCCCATGGACAGCGCCATCTATTGGACTGAATATGCCGCAAGAAATAGAAACTTTACCTTCCGATCGGCGGCAGCAAACGTGCCCACTGTTCAATATCTATGCTTAGATGTTATATTATTCTTGTTGGGTGTTATCCTTGTCATAGCATACACTTTTAAGTATGTAATTTCCTTAATATGCTGTAAGAGAAAACAAGCTCAGATAAAATCTAAAAAACAATAATGTATTTTGTTGTAAATATTTTATAGTAAAAGTTGTTTTTTTCGTTTTCGTATCTTTTTTATTTATGTCAATATATAAAACCGAAAAATCCAATTAATAGAACATAAGTTGTCATTACAACAAAAGAAATTACATTTTATTTTATTATTTGGACATTTAATCTTCATTTAAATGTATAGTTAATTATTAAATATCAATCATTGATAACGACATCCCTAAAACCAAAACGACACACCAGGAGTGTCGTTAACAAAAAGCATTTGTTAACTACACCACTAGTAAATATTATTGTTATCCTGATTTTAATATATTTTTATAGATTCCTTAAATTTATTAAGTTAAACTTAGTGTTAAGTATTCGATGTTGGACATTTACAATTTGCAACATTGCGGTTCCTAAACGGAACTTCCGCTAAACAGCGGAAATCACGAACAGGACAGCCGCGCCTCTAGCGTTAAAAAAAAGAAACTTGACTGTTCGGAAAAAGTAGCCAGGGTTGCCGCCTTTTCTTCGCCGTGCGAATTAAAATATAAAATACACACCAGAAGAGACCAATTAAGTGCCAGCATAAGAAAATACACATATGGATTGAATACTACTGAACTGTCACCATTTTCATCGCCGTGCGACCAGAAGAACGCTCTGGTGAGTTTTCTGGTGAGTTACTTCTCATAATAAACTACAGTTCGCTTAATTATACCACACTTAGTACCCAAGAAACAATTAGGCGCTGGTTGCAGGTTATTTTAAAGCTTAGAGTAATACTATTGATTTATAATGGATTCGGTTGTCACTAGAGGTGGTACAGTTTACTTATAAAATAACCTTTACTCCTGTGGTGGTATTAGAATCGCAAATCACGCAATTATAATTTATCTACAGTTATTGCAGTAGCCATAGCTGCTTATACACTTATAACGTTAAAGCTTGTTTCGGCCTGCAACTTCAAAAGCATTTTAAAGGTCTTCATGAACTCTCTGTAACTCTTATTACTATAAATATTCTGTATTGACGACCCTTATAAATCATAAGGCTGTATTAGTTCTACAACGGAGTTAGATAAGAGTGTAGTAACACCAAACTCTACATGCGTTGTATAACTCTTATATATAGTTAAAGTTTGTACAGCAGTTTTGTACGATCATGATATAAAGGTTTTGGTAAGAATATAAGCTGTAGGTAACTCTTCAATGACACCGTTAAATATTTCTTACATTTAAAGTTTATGTGCTAAATATAATTGTATGAATTTCATGTTATGCATTTAATTTTACAATGAGATAAATTGATTCGTAGAGATTACAAAAAAGAACAGGTGGAGTGAGATATAAAATTCTGCAACAATATCAGAATGGTTCCGTACATTTTTGATGAGGAAGACTTTGATAAAGATTTTTCGATTTTGGTTGTTTTATTTTAATAGTAGCTCTGCCCACGAATCCAAGCACAATTTCGCAGACGCTATTATTAAAAAAAATCAATAAAGATGTTATATTTGAAACTCCTATTAAATCGTCTTATTTCAATATGCATACAGTTGAAAAACTCTCTTATTCGTTACAAGTTAATGAAATACACTGGTGAAATTAAGTGCAAATTAGTTCATGCACAATAATATTTATTATATTGTACTTTCTGTCACTCCATAAACAGTATAGGAAGATTAGGTAATAAGAAGATTTATTATTAATTCGATATTTTTTATTCAAAAATTACTTTATTACGATATCAACTACAAATTGATATACATATAGTAGTAGCACAGTGTCGTCCTCTCGCGCACCGGAGGTGTAAGCATCCCAGCGCGAACTGGGGACTCCACTTCGGCTGATTTTGATGAAATTTTACTATTAATTTCTGGGACCGACGTTCTATGAGTTCTATGGAAAAAGAAAATAAAATTAATAATTAACAATTTAAACAGGCGTTGTATGCTGTAATTATTATTAAGTTTTACTTTATAGATTATATTTTGTACGAATACTAAACTATTCGATGAAAACTACCTAAAGATTTAGGATTTCAATAACTTCATGTAGAACCCTAATCTCAATGTTTAAAGGTAAATCTGAAAGCGTTATGTGACTCTTTTAAATCACCAAAGAACTTACAGCATTCTTGGATACTGCCGCTGACGTTATTCGAGTGTAGTATTATATTTGAAGGCAGACTGTACCTTTAGGAAAAAGTCACCATTTTTGAACACTTTCTGTCAAGATAACCTCAAATGTTAATTAATACAAATTCACTTATTTTAAAATTTAAGTACCAAAATTTACCCAATTATTGACTTGATTCTGGCTTTATTAGTGTATACGAAGACTAAAACTGATCAATCTTTGAAAATTAGAATCTAAAAACTGTTTTAGGTTATTAGCACTTTTAATTATTTACTTGATTTTTTACTTATTTTTTAAACGGAAAATAATGATCTTATAACACCACTAATACACTTCTACTAAGAGTTATGTAGAACCACTTTAAGGGGTTTATACAGACTTTACCTGTATAATTTTGCGCCAAAATCCAAGTTATAAAGGTGTTATTACACTCTATAACTCTCTTATAAGATATACGTTAACTCTTTGATATCTAACCAGAACCGAAATATAGGCCTACTAAAGCTTGTTTTAACGCTAAATTGTTAGTTGGGTATGATAACAAAATTTAAATAAAAAAAATAAAAAGAACTTAGAAAGGTAATTCTTATTTAATATGAACGATACTCAATAATCCTTATTATTTCAAACATAATCTGTCTTCTTTTTACCGCAGGTACGTTATCGAGTTCTTTGCCAACAAATTCACCGAATTTACGATTCGCCTCTTGCACCGAATTTACGATTTGCCTCGTGCTTCATTAGCCGTTTCAGGTGTTTGTGGTATTATATTTTCCTTTTCACAATTATAATTGTCAGATTGAATGCCAACTTATTTTCCTGGTATGGATTCATGGCTTGTTATAACCTTTTCCCTAAGCCCGTTCATTATTTTAAGTGGATCATTTTTGTACACATTTGGCTCACGTGTGTGTAATTTGCTAAATACATGTACTTCTTCATTCTGAAACAAGAGCACACACACACACACACAATATGTCTGATCATGAGCTGTCTCGAGTCCCGAGACTCTTGAAATGAACCATACATACCTACCTTAGTATTAACCGTTCCATGACATTTCAATTTTTTGTAAGAGGAACATCTTCAATATACTGATCCATCTCCATAATTTATATGTTTATGATATTTATACTTGCCTAAAAGTAAGGCTACTCCGCCATTGGTATTAATTAATCTGAAGTGAGAAATTACTAGATAATAATTATGTGGGTACCAATTTGATATTGGAAAATGGGTATATAAAGGGAAGCAAAAACTATTCGAGTCATCTTCATCGGTGTAACTTCAAGTGAAGTAAAGCTCATCTACGCCTGAAATTTCCGTGAAATTGTTGAAATTGTGAAGCATTAAAATGTTTAGCTGTATTAAACGCGAATTTATAATCCCTTATATCGAGGGCGACAGGACCATAGAATCATTATCCAAAGTTTTAGTGGAAAGCCTCAATGTTTCTGAAAATAAATTGTGTTTTATTGTTAGTGATATACAAAGGCATATTCTTCCTACATTCAACAAGCGCTGGGACCAAGCATCTCGCTAAACAGAAACATTTATAAAGAAGAATGGTGCTTGGCTGGACTCAGGGTAATTTTTACATTTCCCGGACTCCGAACAAGATTCTACGCCATCAACATCTGGCCAGCGAGAAAGAGCTTGCGTGCCTTATAGTGACCCCTCAGAATCTACCAAGAAGAGGAAAAACACTCTTCTACTCCAAGAATATGGCTTCAAGCATATAAAAAAACGCTTTTGTGCAGGGACTACGTGCCTTAGGTGAGTACGAAGAAGCTCATCTTGTAGACGAATTAAGAAACGCTGACACTCAAAAGAAATTTAACCTCCGTAATATGTGGAATAACTTAGACCAGGCGGAAATTACGGGTGTAGACGAAACATTTATTAAACGCCTGTATATTATCTTACAAGTTCTATCTTCTGGAAAGATGATTGATTCTAAAAAGTTTGGAGTATATGAAATAGAAACTGCAAGAATATATGTAAGTAATTATGATTGGTATTATATGCCGCTCTCCGTTCATAAAATACTCATACACGAAGAAAACGTTATCAAACATTTTGCAGTGCTTCCTATTGGACAGCTGTCGGAAGACGCACAAAAAATGTTCCCGGTCTGCAACAAATGAAGATGTCTTTAAAATGCTTTTCAGTCAGATCCATATATAACAAGTTTAAGAAAACCATACTTAAGAAATGTAAAAAATCTTGAAGTAGAGGCAGTAAGTCTTTTAAAAGTGGTACCTGAAAGTGAACGCACATTTACAGACCCTGATCCTGAAGCAATATAGGTACCTGCCAAAATAAAAATAATATTGATATTAAGTTATTAGTAATGTTTGTAACGAGCTATATCAATCTCTGAAGCTACAGGCCTAGGATAGTTTGTTTGTTCAGCAAAAAAAAATTCTTCTGTATTTTTTATTAATTGGGTAATTGTATTTAACCATAGTTTTAACCTTTTTAGTCATTAAAATTGTCTTTCTTGTGGATTTTTTTTTTTTGCCATTTTATTTTTGTGTTTTTCCCATTTTTTTACTTCTATGACATATAACATATATATATGTATATAGAAAAACACTACAAATTATACATCATTTGAATTTCCAAACCACACTGGATATTTGTACCAAATTTCATTGCGGTACTACAAAAAATCATGAAGTTATAGATTTTTGATCCGATAACGACCGATTCTGCCCACCGTGCACCGGGTGGGTCCCGCTACAGTTTAGGGAAAAGGCTCAGGAACATATAAATCTAATCCCCCAGACAGGACAAGAGGCGTGCAATGCCCGGCGACTGCGCAAACCTGCCAGATGCCCTCTGTCAAAGGCAAGGCAAGAAATGCGCTACTGATCTTTTCTCACCCTAGCCCGTCTCATA